ATGGGTGGCATTACCTTCCCCGACTTCAAACTGTGATACAAAACAGTAGAAATTAAAACAGCATGGTATTGGACAAGAAACAGATCTGAAGACCAATGGAATAGAGTTGAATATTCTGTCCCAAACTCTCAAATATATGATCCCTTAATCTTTGATAAAGGAGCAAGAAATGTGAAGTGGAAAAAGGAAAGCCTCTTCAACAAGTGGTGGTTGGAAAACTGGACAGCTACCTACAAAGAAAATGAACTCTGCCCTCTGTCTAACATCAGGCACAAAAGTCAGATCAAAGTGAATTAAAGACCTCAGTATCAGACCTTAATCCATAAGGTACATGAAGGAAAATGTAGGCAGAACCCTCCATAATGGTGAAGCTAAAAGCATCTTTAAGGATAAAATAACACTGACAAGCAGTGGAAGCAAACATAAACAAATGGGACTACATTAAACTAAGAAGCTTCTGCACCTCAAAAGAAACAGCGACCAAAATACAGAGAGAGCCCATGGAACAGGAAAGAATATTTACCCAATATCCATCTGATAAGGGATTAATATTCAGGATATACAAGACACTAATAGAATATACAAGAAAAAAACCATCAAAAAATGGGGAGAAGAAATGAACAGAAGCTTCCTCAAAAAATACAAATGGCCAAAAGGCACATGAAAAAATGCTCCACATCGCTAGTCACCAGGGAGATGCAAATCAAAACACCAATGAGATATCATCTCACACCACAGAGACTAGCATACATCAAAAAAGAATAAGAACAGTCAGTGCTGCATGGATGTGGGGAGAAAGGGACTCTCACTGTTGGTGGGAATGCCAACTGGTCCACCCTCTTTGTAAAACAGTATGGGAATTTCTTCAAAAACTAGAAATTGAGCTACCATATGAACCTGCAATACCACTCCTGGGAATATATCCTGAGGGCGAAAAAAAGCACAAAAAAGCAATAGAAATGACATCTGCACCTGTATGTTTTTTGCAGCACTGTTTACAGTAGCCATAATCTAGAAACAACCCGAGTGCCTGAGAACAGATGACTGGTTAAAGAAATGTTGGTAGATCTACACAATGGAATACTATGCACCTGTTAGGAAATATGAAGTCATGAAATTTGCTTAAGTGGATGGTCATGGAGAATATCATGCTAGGTGAAATGAGTCAGAAAGAGCAACAGATATAGAATGACTGCATTCATTTGTGGAATATAAAATAACATAATATGAGAATGACACCCAAGGACAGTAGACAGAAGGGCCAGGAAGATTGCTCCATGGTTGGTAGCCTACCTCATGAGCTCAGGGATAGGGCAGCTGGAACAGAGAAGGGTTCACTAAGTCAATGACGGTTGGAGGGATCATTCGGGATGGAAGATGTGTGTTGAAAGTAGATAAAGGACCAAACATGATAGTCTCTCAGTATCAATATTGCAAACCAAATGCCCAAAAGCAGAGAGAGCATGGGGGAAATTGTTTGCCATAGAGGCAGGGGTGGGTTGGGAAGGGGGGAGATAATGGGGACATTGGTGGAAAATGTGCACTGTTGGAGGGATGGCTGATGGGTGTTCAATCATTGTATGACTTGGAAACTCAAACATGAAAGCTTTGTAACTGTATCTCACGGTGATTCAAAAAAAAGAAAAAAAGAAAAAGAATTCTGGGTCTTCATGACTGAGATCTCCAAGCATTCGTGGCTGTGTGATCTCTCATACTTTAGCCCACTGATGTATCAAAAGTAGCACACAATTCTTTGGGTTTATCATACATGACTGTAATTTCTTATATGAGGGTTTAAATTGCTCTAAGATGAAACACAACAATCTTCACACTTTGCCTTTTTTTTTTAGTTTTTTTTTTAAGTTTATTGAATCACCGTGAGATAGTTACAAGCTTTCATGTTTGGGTTACAAGCACAATGATCAAACACCATCCCTCCACCAATGCACATTCCCCACCACCACATTTTGCTCATATGGTGGTAGGAAGGTGCACAGTGGTCTGATTGGTATTTAAATATTAAATGCAATGAATTATTGTGAACAACTTTATAAAAATAAAGCACTGTAACACTGTCCTTCCGTTGTTCATCAATTTGCTTGAGCAGGCCGAGTAATGTCTCCATTGTGAGACTTGTTGTTACTGTGTTTGGCATGTTGAATACGACATGGGTAGCTTTGCCGTGCGGGCAAGATACTCTCAGTAGCTTGCCAGGCTCTCCGAGAGGAACGGAGGAATTAAATCAGGTAAAAATTCTGGGTTTTCTGGAGTGCAACGTAGACACCCCAGTAGGAGCACACCGGACTGGATGGTATGTAATGCAGAAGCCAACCCATCTCGACTACCACAAACTTTCATGCAGAAGCCTTCATTTGCAGCAACAGCTTAGTAAACCCTCAGACAAGGACTTAATGTCTACAGGGTGAGACTCAATAATTTTTTACAAACTTTAGTTTATAGAAATGATTTTTGATCATCCTGTTAGCCATTGAGTGGTAATAAACAATATAAAATAAACTACTCTAAGGGAGCCTGAGCCATAGTACAGCAGGGAGGGTGTCTGCCTTGCACTTGGTTAACCCGGGTTCGACCCTGGCATAAGATCCTCCCCAAAGCACCGCCCATAGTAATTTCTAACTGCAGAGACAGAGGTAACCTCTGAGCATCACCGAATGTGACCCCCCCCCAAAAAAAATAAATAATTGTGGGTCTGCTATGGGCAGGCTTACGGGTCATTGAAAATGGAGACAATGCTGGAGGAAAGGTGATGGTGGAGGGGTTGGGTTGGGATATTCAAGGTCTGGAACAAATTATCACAAACAACTTTGAAAACCAGGGTGTTTAAATAAAGGAGGGAGGAGGAATAAAATTAAGATGGATTTCCACTACGTACCTCATAATCTGACCTCACGTTGTCTGGAACTACGGAACGAGGCAAATGTCCCGGGGTTAGTGCAGGCAGATTCATCTGCAGGGAAAGAGAGATGTCGTTGAGGTTCTTGTTCATATTGTGTTTTATGTTTGGGGTTCTGAGACCATGTCCTGGCTCTGTGCTCAGGGGTCACTTCTGGTGGTGCTCAGGTAGCCCCCTGGTGTCGGGGATTGAACTTGGGTCAGACATGCAAAGCAAGTGCCTTAACCCCATTACTATGTCTGTGGCTTCCAGTGCGTCAGTTGGGGTCAATCGATATAGATGCCTTAGAAATACGATGTCACGGAAGAGAGAAATCTCACTTTTCAGGAACCCAGAGGGGAAGAGCTTGCCCAGATTCTTGCAAGGGTCAGAGGTGGAAGTAGGGCTGGGGCCCTGACCTTGGGTAACACTGTCCTCCCGCCTGACCGACCCTGCACCCTTGACTCAGAAGTTGATCACTGCCCTTGCACTCCATGGACACCCAGGATTCAGAGGCCACTCAGTGCAGGAGCCAGAGTCCTTAAGTCTAATCCAGTTCCCCTTCTCCCAGTTCCCTTTGTCCCTGTCCCCAGTCTCCAGGCATCAGAGAGATTTTGAGAACTGGGTGTTTTGGTTCTTAAATGTGTCAATGTATTTTGCATCTTTGCCCTGTTCTTTTTCCCTGGAAACTGAGAAGGACTCCCTAGGATTCAAAAAAGACCCGAATTAACAAGGTCTGAAAAACAGTACCGTGGGCAGTGTGTTTTCCTTGCATGTGGCCCACCTGAGTCAATCCCCAGAACTACACATGCCCCCTGAGCCTATTCAGGAGTGATCCCTGAATACAGAGCCAGGAATCAGCCCTGGGCATTGCTGGGTGTGACCCCAAAACCAACTAAACAAATATAAAATTCTCTGTTGTTTTTCCTTCTACATCTTCTCAGTCAAATCCAGCAAATTCACTTCCTTCATAGACCATGACTGTTGACAGAAGTTGCTGAGAAAGAGAGGGAGTGGTGTCGTGGGGGCTACTAAAAATTCTCAGGAATCACCTAGGCCTCCCCCAGGACACAGGGGAAATACAGACTGGCCGTAGTCGTGCTGGAGAGAGAGAAAGAGATAAGAACAGGTGGATGGCAGAGAGCTGCCCAGAGTGCCAGGAGAGATGCAGAGACCTGAGTGTCACTGAGCATCCTCCAAGGAGCATGCCTGATCCCAACCCCTAAGCAGAAGAACCCAAACAATCCTCTGGGTCTGTGGGGACATAGGCAGGGGGGCAAGGAGGGTCTCTATGGAACATTACTCCCTTGGGTCTGTTTTTGAGGTTTGGTTGTGTTTGGACAAGGCCCGATCTTCCAGAGACAAGAGCCCATCTCGAGTCAAGCTGGCAGGTAGAAAGAATATGGAGGGAGAAGAGGGTAAGGAATGTGTTTTGGGTAGCAGCTGCGTGTACCAAGGAAGAAAAGGATGAGGAAAATGAGGGGCCGGAGCAACAGTCCAATGGGGAAGGCAATTTCCTTGCATGTGACCGACCCAGGTTCAATCCCCTGCATCCCATATGGTCCCCAAGCTTTGCCAGCAGTCATCCCTGAGCACAGAGCCAGGAGTAAACCGTGATAATTGCTGGGTGTGGCTAAAAACTAACCCAAACCAAAACAAGTGCATGCGATCAATAGAGAGGAGAGGAGAGGGTGTTGGGGTGGAGCTGCTGGCTGGATGGGAAACTCTCTTGATGGTTTCTCATCTGCAAGAGTGGCCAAACACTCAGAGCAACAGCAAGTGCCTCATACTCTGATTCCTTGTTTTCCGGGGGAAGTGACAGTTCCTGGGAACCTAAGAACATGGGTACAAGCCCCCATTCTTTCCGAAGGTCGCCTCCTCTGACAGCAGAGAGAGGCCAGATTACTTTGTGCTTTCTTTGTGGAGGAGGGGTCGGATTTTGAGGCCACATCCTGGTTCTGTGTCCTGGGGTCACTGCTGCAGGTACCAGAATGGAACTGGGCTCCTCTGTGTGCAAAGCACGAGACTTAACCCCATCCTGTCTCTTCAAGGGGTCTGAGTACCTCATATGCTGATTCGTCGGTTAGCGGAGGGGGGGGCTCTGGCCTCAGTCCACGATGAAAAGGAACCTTGAAGACAAATATGTGGGACCTCTGCAAGGAGACAGAGTGCAATCAGGGCTCATCAGTACAGGGACCCCGACAGCAAGAGGCCCCATGTTCCTGCAAAGACCCAGTGAGGAAAGCCGAGTGACAGCACGCAGGGAGGGTGGGCTCCATCCTGGTATCCCATAGGGTCCCCTGAGCCCCACTAGGAATGATCCCTGAGTGAAGAACCAGGAATAACCCCTGAGCATCGCCAGGTGTCCCCCCCCCCCTCCCGCCAATAAAAGGAGACCAAGAGGCAGAAGCAGGATGAGGCCCCAGCGCCTTCTCCCGGCCCAACCAGTAGCTCTCTCCCTCCACCTGGCCACCTCTTCAGCTTCTATGGGGCTGGAGCCACCTCCTTGGCCATGCATGAAATGCCCATACATGGGGGTGGGGGGACAGAGTCCTCAGAACTTCCCCAGATCCCTGCAGAACCCTAGTCCCTTTGTCCTCATCTCCAACTTCCAGGGATTCCTGCCAAATACACAGAATGTTCTCCATCATGGTCGTCTTCCTGCTGCTGCATCTCAATCAAATCCAGAAAATTCACAGCTTTCAGAGAACAGGGACCAACAGCAGAAGAATTTGTGGGGAAAGAATGTGACAGAGAAGTGGTGGGGCTTGGTCTTGGGGCTACTCCTGGCTATTCTCAGGGATCGCCTGGGCCTCTCTGGAGCTCTGTCTCCCCCGGGGCACAGAGGGAGTTCCAAACTAGCCATTGAACACTAGTGGGGGAGGCACTGGTCTTACATGTGACTGACCCTGGGCCTACCCTGGGCATTGTGTAGGGTCCTGAGCATGCCCAGGGGTTACTCCTAAGCACAGGGCCAGGAATAGCCCCTGAACACTGTTGGATGTAGATCAAAGACAAAGAAAGAAAGAAAGAAAGAAAGAAAGAAAGAAAGAAAGAAAGAGTGAGAGAGAGAGAGAGAGGGAGGGAGGGAGGGAGGGAAGGAAGGAAGGAAGGAAGGAAGGAAGGAAGGAAAGAAGGAAGGAAGAAAGAAAGGAAGGAGGCTTTCCTTACTCCACTTTTCTTGCCCCCTTATCAAAGACTAGATGATCATATGCTTGGGGGGAGATGTCAGTATATTCAACCCTGTTCCATTGGTCTACAGCTCTGCCTTTGTTCCAGTACCAGGCTGTTTTAATTATTACTGCTTTGTAGTAGAGTTTGAAGTTAGGGAGGTTGATTCCTCCCATTTTCTTTTACCCAAGAATTGCTTTAGCTATTCGTGCGGGCCTATTGTTCCATATAAATTTCAGGAGTGTCTGCTCCATTTCTTTGAAGAATGTCATGGGTATCGTAATAGGGATCGCATTGAATTTGTACAGTGCTTTGGGAAGTATTGCCATTTTGACCATGTTAATTCTCCCCATCCATGAGCAGGGGATATTTTTCCATTTCCTCGCATCCTCTTTTATTTCCTGAAGTAGCGTTTTGTAGTTTTCTTTGTACAGGTCCTTTACTTCCTTAGTTAAGCTGATTCCTAGGTAGTTGATTTTCTGGGGCCCAACTGTGAATGAGATTGTTTTTTTCATGTCACTTTCTTCTCTCTCACTGTTTGTGTATAGAAAAGCCATGGACTTTTGGATATTGATTTTATAGCCTGCAACTTTACTATACAAGTCTATTGTTTCTAGGAGTTTCTTGGTAGAGGTTTTAGGGTTCTCTAAGTATAGTATCATATCATCTGCGATTAGTGAGAGCTTGATTTCTTCCTTTCATACCTGGATGCCCTTAATATCTTTTTCTTGCCTAATCGCTATTGCAAGTACTTCCAGTACCATATTGAACAGTAGTGGAGAGAGTGGACATCCTTGTCTCGTCCCTGATCTTAGGGGGGAAGGCTCTCAGTTTTTCCCCATTGAGGACGATGCTTGCTGTAGGCTTTTGGTAGATGGTTTTAACTATATTGAGGAAAGTCCCCTCTATTCCCATTTTGGCAAGAGTTTTCATCATAAAGGGGTGCTGGATCTTGTCACATGCTTTCTCTGCATCTATTGATTATATGATTTTTATCTTTTCTTTTGTTGATGTGATGGATTATGTTGATTGATTTCCGAATGTTAAAACATCCTTGCATCCCCGGGATGAATCCCACTTGGTCATGGTGTATGATCTTTTTTATGAGTTGTTAATTCTATTTGCTAATATTTTATTGAGAATCTTCGTATCCGTGTTCATCAGGGAGGGGAAAGAAGGAAGGAAGGAAGGAAGGAAGGAAGGAAGGAAGGAAGGAAGGAAGGAAGGAAGAGGTGGACGGCAAAGGAGGGGCTGGAATGCCCAGAGCAGAGACTCAAATGGCATGGAGGGTTCTCCATAGAACAAGCTTGACCCCCACCCCCAACCCCCAAGAGGAAAACCTGAACAGTATTCCTGGGTGCTGTGAGGTGCAAGGTCAGGGGGCCTCTGGCACATCACCAACCTGTGTCTGTGGGGTCTGTCTCTGGGTTTCAGCGATGCTGGTGGGCTCCAGGTTATCTAGAAAAAGAGAGGGAGAGTAAATGAGAATCACGGGCTGGAGTTAGGGGTGACAGGAAGGAAGGGGGGTGTTTTCCAGCACATGCTCTGGTCAGTGAAGAGGTGACAAAAGTCTTCCTCTCTCCCCCATGACCTCCCATCACCTTTCCAGCAAAGTTGACCTAGGAATGTTCTGGAAGTCTGCTTCTGCATTAGACAAGACTAGTGGTGTGGAGAGACAAGAATGCTAGAATTAAGTGCCCAGAGGCTGGAGCCATAACACAGTGGGGAGGGCACTTGCAGTGTAGGCAGTCCACCCAGATTTGATCCCCAGCATCCCATAGAGTCCCCTGAGCACCAACAAGAGTCAAAAGTAATCTGTGAGCACCACTGGGTATTGCCTCAAAACTATAAACAAATGAAAGAAAATTAAGAAAAATAAAATTAGGTGCTCAATCTTGCCAGTGGAGCCCCTGGCTGGAATCTGTGTCTATCCATTTTTGGCGGCCTGGGGGGGCACATCTGGCAGTCCTTGGGGGACCCTAGGTTGTACCAGGGATGGAACTTGGGTGGTGGCAACATGCAGCAAGCACTTGAAGCCCAGAACTATCTCTCTGGGCCATGAATCTGTCCTTCTCCTCCTGTCCTTGGTTTTCTTCGCTGCAGTCCTGAGCTGGTGTTTCCTGTTCTTCCAAGATCTTCAGCCTGAGCTGACAAAGGTATTTTTCTTTCTGCCTTTCCAAGACCAGGAAGGTCCAAGGTTGGGTTTGGAGACTGAGGGGAGGAGTGTTGGGATGGATTCCTTTGAAAGTCACCAGCAGGCGACTTTCCTGAGCTGGTCGAGAGGAAGAGGATAGAGCCCTTTGCCCCATGGACAGAAGTTGGCCACTCACTTCATTCACCCATTTCTCAGGTGGGGAGCCTGTGGTTTGGAGGGAGCAGAGCATGGCCACACATTGGGGTGAGGGTCACAGGTGGGAGTAGAAGCTGGGGTGCCTGACAGTGCTCCCTGAGGCCACCACATGACACTTACTTAAACCCATTGTACCGGATACCGAGTGGATCTCCTCTGTCCTTCTGGGTGAACTCTCTCTTGTTTTCCTGGAGTCAGAGAACCCCAAAACTCTCACTCTTCTGCTCTGTGGCACCTGCCCAGCCCCACCAGCCACACTCCAGCAATGTTCCCAACCCCCTGAGTCCCCTTGGGGGCCAAAGTCCGTGACACTGTTGCCTGATGGCCCCCACCCCACCCCACAGTAGGACACCCCCATCCCCACCCCAATTCCCAGCTTTACCTTCTGAAGTAGAAGAAGTACAGCAAGCCCAGGGCAATGGCAATAGCGGCCACGACCCCCAAGACGATGCCAGCGATGGCTCCTGCAGACAGGGCCAGGGAGGGATCTGGGCAGAGACAAGCAACACAAACCCCAGTGGGTACCCCTCTTCCCTGCCCGCCCGTTCCTGGGTGACCCTGCACCCCCTCTCTACTCTGTGGCTTTGTCTCCTTTGCCCCTGTCTTCATGCCCTGAGGCAGCTGTCAGAGGAACCGCAGGGGACTGCACAGGCCAGAAGATCGGACAGAAGTCATAGTGCTGGTCCCATCCCGGGTACTGCCTTAGTTCCCCCCAGCACCTCCAGGAATGATCACAGGTACAGCCAGGTGTGATCCCCAAATCTGTCCCCTCCAAAATGTCTTGATTTCAACTTTCTAGAGTCAAAAACCTCAATGCATAACCCAGCTCCTGGTCATGCTCACGTTTAAATGATGTCTCAGTAGCACCAGCAAAGATAAATTTATTATTAATATATTATTAAACACTGTCACATTGTCCTCCCGTTGTTCATCGATTTGCTCGAGCGGGCCCAGTAACATCTCCATTTTGTTGTTACTGTGTTTGGCATACTGAATACGTCACGGGTAGCTTGCTAGGCTTTCCCATGTGGCCGAGATACTCTCAGTAGCTTGTCGGGCTCTCCAAGAGGGGCGTAGGAATCAAACCCGGCTCGGCCGGGCTGGCTGCATGCAAGGCAAACGCCCTACCGCTGTGCTATTTATTATTATTATTATTATTATTATTATTCTATATTGGAGCCACACCTGCAGTGTACAGGACTCACTCTTGCCGTTGAGCTCAGGATCACCCCTTTTGGGACTGGGTAGTGCTACAGGGATGCCGAGGATTGAACCCAGGTGGACTTCCTGGAAGGAAAGTGTCCTCCCTCTGTGCCATGGCTTTGGTCCCAAAGGTAAAGTTTGTAGACCCCAAGAGAGGCGCAGAGAGGTGCAGTGACATGCCCAAGGTCACACAGCCCCAGGATGGGAACCCAGTTAATGAGCTGCCCTACCCGCCTGGGCAGAAATGCAGGTAGTGGCTGTTCATCCCAGCTGCCTGCTAATATCATCCCTGAATCCCTCCTCAGCAGTGTCATCCCCCAACATGCTGCCCTTCTCAGCCACTCTGAGAGGCAGCCTCACCCATCCCACAGCAGGAAGGGAAACTGAAACTGGAGAGCTCTGCCAAGCCCACATCCAGGAAGTAGAGGTTTAAGGGTCTGAGCACTAAGGATAGGAGGCTGTGGGAGCCAGCCAGAGGGTGAAGGCACTTGTCTTGGGTGTGGCTGACCCTGGGTCTATAACCCCCATGGCAGCACATCCCTGGGCACAGAGCCAGGAGTAGTCCCTGAGCACTGCGGGGTGTGGCCCCCAAACAAAACAAAACAACAAAAGGTTGAAAGGGATCAGAGAGATAGGATGGGGGTGGGTTGGGAGGGGGAGGGCCTTTGCCCTGCACATGGTGGCTGACCTGAGTTTAGTCCCCAGTCATATGGTCTCCTGAGCATAGCCAGGAGTAAGTTCTGAGCCTGCCAAGTGTGACCCCAAAGCAAAAAACAAACAAACAAAAAGGCTTAATAAAAGAGCTAAAGGACCAACCCTAAGTTAATAAGGCTATTTATTATTTAATAATAAGATCAAGATTAAGGCACTGGCCTTGCCCAGGGCTGAACCCCATTTGAGCCTCAGCACTACAAAAGGGCACCCAGAGTCCCCTGAGCTGAGTGTGACTCTCACGGAAAAAAAAGAAAAAAAACTGATCTAAGTTAATAAATGTGATACAGAATCCATTTAATAATGAAATAAATCAATAGGACCGGAAATGGGTTTGGCTGTCTGCCCACGTGAGCTGCTCCTGGCTGCAGCCCTGCAGTGATTCCTTAGGAGACTCCACACCCACCACGGTGGGGGGGAGGGGGGACTCACCCCACAGTCTGAGCACCACCAGTGTGGAGCTGCTCTTGCCAGTCTGAGGGTTTGAGGCCGTGCACGTATGCACCCCCTCATCCTCCCACGATAGGGCCACAAAGATGAGCCGGTTGGTATTGAATGTCCGATTCCTGGAGGTCCAGCGATACTGAGGGCTGGGGTGGGCGTCCGCTTGGCAGTTCAGGATCAGGTAGGAGCCCAGGGCAGCCTCGAAGATGGGGCCGGGCATGTTCTGTGTGCTGCTGCTGATGTTCAGCTTGTCAGGGCCGTCTGTGTGCAGGGCAGGCACAGGTGGTGGTGTGGGGGGTCTGCTCAGAGTCCCCAGAAAAACCCTCAGAGTGAACTTGTTTTCCTTTTTCTTTTCTTCTATTTTTGTTTTGTTTGGGGACCACACCCGGTGGTGCTCAGGCCTTCCTCCTGGCTCTGCACTCCGGAATCACTCTGATGCTGTTTGGGTAATCCCATGGGATGCTGGGTTCATACCCAGGTCCACCATACTCCAGGCAACTGTCCGAGCTGCTGGACTCCCACTCTGGCTGCAGACTTTCCTTCCTGGCTCCCGCCCTCCCCTTCCCTGCAGATCCACTTCATTCCCCCTAATAAAACCCTTGCTGGCCATCATCCCCTTCGCCCCATGGTTGGGGACCCTAGGTCACAAGTTGCTGCAGGGGCGTGGGAGGATACTAACTCTCCGTACTCCCCACTCCAAGCTCTTCCACCTTGCACCCAAGATCCAGATTTTTAGGGAGTCCACTCTCCTCTGGCGAGTGCTTCCTGGGTCTCTCCCCACCGGCCACCTGCCATGACCCATAGGGCCCTGAGTCATGTTCTCACCCCCACCTTATCTCCTGGTCTCTTCTGTCCACTCCCCCGGATGCCTCTTTACCACCTCCGGACCCTCTGATGCCCTCCCTGATGTGTTGACCCTCCTGAGTTCCTCCTATCCAAGGCACAAAGACCCTTCCCCTTGTCACTCCAGCTAAGACCCCCCAACCTGCCCAATCCCACTCTAGGTAGAGAATCCTCCTGACCCTTATCTTCATCCAACCCAAGTTCTCCCCCTATTTTCCATGATACGATAAAATGCCATGGAGGGCAGGTCCCAGAGTGTGTTCAGTGCCCACAGAACCTGGCACAGAGGGGCAACTCCTATTCCTCTCCCAGATCCCGAACGAATAGCGGCGGGGAAGGGGTCACTCACAGTAGATGTTCAGGAGGACAGGCTCACTGCGGGCCTCGCCAATACTGCCCCACACCAGGCACTGGTAGGGCCCTGTGTCCGTGCGCTGGAGCCGGAATATGGCCAGGGTGCAGTTGTCAGCCGACAGCACCAGGCGCCCACTGGGCTGCAGGGGTTGGCCCTGCAGGAGCCAGCGGACACTCACGCCCGTGTGGTTCGTCCTGCAGATCAGGTTCACGGGTGGGCGAGTCTCGCTCTCCATCAGGAAGTCACTGGACACCGTGATGGACAGTGGGGTCAGTTGCTCTGCAAACGCGGAGCTTCAGGCTGGGGTTCAGGGGGCCGCCTCTCCCGTTTCCCACCCTGACATCCAGCTTGGGGAGGAGAGAACTCACCCAGCACCTGGATTTCCAGGGTGTCCATCTGGGTCTGCTGAGTGGCAAGGTTGGTGACTACACATTTGTAGGTGCCGCTGTGTTCCTTGGTCATGCGGGAGATGGAGAATGTGTTGGTGTTACGCGGCTGTTCTACGCTATTGGGGACAGTCCAAGTGTAATTCGGGATCGGGTAGGACTGAATGAGCACGGAGAAGGTCACATGGGCACCCCTAGGTATCTCCTGCACCTTTTGGTTGGCTTTCCTCATGTCCACCGTGATTGTAAAAGGGTCGGGGCCATCTAGGATACAAGAAGCAACGAGCTGAGACTGGGATGCTGGCCCGGACTCCTGGCTTGCACACTGACTCCTGCGGTGATGGCTGTGCCAGGGATCCATGACCCAGGGCCCAGGGGAGTGCTGAGGTGGGGCGAGGGGATGTTAGCATTAGCCCTGAGGTATGCGTAGGGTGGGGAAGACAGAGCCTCATGAGATTAGCTGCAACATGGGTGGCTCTGGAGGGAAATCAGCCAGAAGGAGAAGCTCAGGGTAATCTCTCATGTGGTAGAAACCCCAGGGAAGATCATATCCCCAATGGCAATAGGGTCAAAGAGCAGGAGAATGTGCCTTCAGCAGGAAGCCTGGTGCTGGGGCAGGGAGGAGGGGGATAAATTAGGGAAGGGGACAGGAGGACAATGGGGGAGAGGGAAATGCAGGCTGGGGAAGCAGGAGGGAAATGGGGCACATTGGTGGAGGGCAGTGGGCGCTGGGGAAGGGATTGGCATTAGAACAATAGACGCCGGACACTCAATCACAAATATACTTTGTAACTGCGACTTTATAAAAAGAAAAGGACAATTAAAAAGAAAAAGAAGACACAGCCTTAGGTCCAGTAAAGGACGCTTGCCTTGCACACAACCAACCTGGGTTCTATCCCTGGCAGCCCACAGGGTAGCTTGAGCCACTGGAAGTGATCCCTGAGCTCAGAGCCAGGAGTAAGCCCTGAGTACTGCCAGGTGTATCTCTCTCTCTCTCTCTCGCTCTCTCTCTCTCTCTCTCCTCTCTCTCTCTCTCTCTCTCTCTCTCTCTCTCTCTCTCTCTCTCTCACACACACACACACACAGAGGCTGGAGAGGGGGGAAGGGGCGCTGTCAGGTGCTGACCTTGTCTGTAGCCACATCATTGCTTACAACCCATTCTCCCCTCTAGACACTGCCAAGAGTAAGCCCTGAGCACAGAGCCAGGAATAGCCTCTGAGTACCATTAGATGGGGGTCCCCCAAAGTCCCACAAACAAAGCCTGCCCACCACAGCTCTTTCCCAGGCAGGATTTTGCATTCAGCAGGCAAAAGTTAAAGAAGCCCCGTTTGGGAGGCGGTAAGTAAGGGGGAAATTTCCAGCCACCATACAAATGGGGTTGAGGGAGTTGCAGGACTGGGGCTCCCAGACACACTCCAATGGCTTCTCAAGCTGGAAGCCGGGCTGGGATGATCCAGGACATGGGGGCCAGTGGGAGGTGGAGGCAGATAGGAACTCACAGTTGACTGCAATGTTACAGAGGTTGCTCTTCTCGGACTGACCCCCGCTGCGGGCTTCACATTGGTAAGGGCCGAAGTCTGTGCGCAGCACGGTTATGAGTGTGAGGCTCTTGTTATCGGCTGACAGATTCATGTGACTTCCCAGCATCAAGGGGCGGTCGTGGAAGAGCCAGTGGATGGTGACCATGGTGTCCGAGGTCTCACACAGCAGATTCAGTGGCCCTTTATGCTCCGTGACCAAGGACGAGCTGGCCGTGAGCAACGGCTTGGCCAGCAGCACTGCGGGGGACAGAGGAGATGGTGGAGACACAGCAGCACAGCCCTGGAGGACCCTGGAGAGGCGGGGGTGGATGAGAGGCCCCCAGAGCTCATTCTTGGGGTCACCCTTCTGGCAGCCCCTCTCTAAACCCCACTCAGGGGATGCACCACGGAATTCAGAGGGTATGGGATGGGAATCAGCTGCAGGGACTGAAGAGATGGTCCCAAGGGGAAGGCTCTTGATGTGCCCGAGGGCACATGGCATCCCCTTAGCCTAACCCTGAGCACTACCGGCCCTCTGCCCCCCATCAAAATAAAAATTAGCTGCGAAGAGACTGGAACTGGTAATGTGGATGCCAGCTGTGTAGCCCACCTCCTTCTCAGTCACCTCCCACCCATGGCTATGTAGCCCCTTGGGCCCCGTGGAGAACTGATCACACTGGGTCCCATCAGTCATACCCTGTGTATTTCTGGGTACTTGAGACATTGGGGATATGGATCTGAACAAGTTGTATCTTCCTGAGCCCACTTCCTCACGAATCTGAGGGGTCTGAAGGTGGGGGGATACCAAGGTCCGAGCATCCTCCTCTTCATTTTGGTTGATGGTGAGCAGGTCAGCTTCTGGGGTGTCTTGGCAGCAGTGGGCAGGCCATAGGCAGTGAGAAGGGAGGCTGCTTGGAAGAGAAGCGACAGTTGGGGTTCAGAGGGGTAGGTGCACTGAAGGGGATCTGAGTTGTAAATGTGGTCCCTCCCCCTGCCTGGCCTGACTCTGAGTCTCAGTTTCCACAGGTATCACATGAGTATAACGTTACCTGCAGCCTAGGATTGTTGGGGAGGGCTCATGGGCACGCCCACATGGATCACCCCACTCGCTGGCATGGCCATCCAAGCCTACACAGAGGCCAACAGGCTCTGAGAGGAAATGTCACTTGGAAAAGCCTGGGCAGAAGCTTCTGGAACCCAGAGTATAGAAGTCTATTTGTCTCTCAGCAACATGTTGTTCTGTTTTGGCATCACACCCAGCAATGCTCAGAGCTTACTCTTGGCTCTGTGCTTAAGAATCACTCCAGGATGTGCTCATGAGATCCTATGGGATGCCAGGGATCGAACAATGTATAGGCTGCATGCAGGGCAAATGCCCTCCCTGCTGGACTATGGCTCTGTGCTTTCCTCTACGCTCCTGGGAGAAGCTGACCTTTGGCCCTTTGGCTCTTCCTCACTCAAGAGGCAGCACTTGCCTTGAATTTGACCTCTTGGCACAGTCTTGAAGCCATAAGTTTGTGTGGCCATGGATGCCCCATGTCCACGGGAACTGAGCTCCACGCTCCCATGCATCCCGTCAGACCAGATAACATGGTGTGTGCCCAGCCCCTCCCCATCCCAACTCCCCAGTCACAACCCCTGCCTCTGAGTCAATGTTTGCAGGCTGGAGCTGGGATGTGTGGAGCAAACTCTGGCTCGGGTGCCTGCCTGGGCCCCATCCCGAGTGTCGGGGTTTGCCCACAAGAATCAGGGACGTGGCTCATCAGGCTATTCGGAGGACTCCTGAGGCCTGCAGAGCCCACCAGTGTGATCATTGGGAAGATGACCACATCTCTGTCTTCCAGGCTGAGTAGGGCAGAGGCCTCAGGCCCAAAGCTCAAGGTGAGGTTTGAATCCTGAGACAGGCACCCTATGCCCCCCGGTGCCCCTCCTGGTCTCTTTCCCAGAGAGTCCTGCTCCCAGCCACCATCTGACCTGCCAGACAAGACCAAGGACCTCCTGTCCTTGCCCAAGCGCCCCACAGCACTATCTCTCCCTCGCCATCTTCCCCTCCATACACACACACACACACACACTCATATTTACACACTCACATACACACACTCACATGCACCCTCACCCACACATGGACTCACACACATTCACATACATACACACACGCACCCACCTCACACACACACTCACATACACTCACACATACACTCACACATACACAAAGTCATACACTCACATTCACAAACACATTCACATACTCACATGCACACACTCACAAATACACTCATACACTCACACCGACAATCTCACATACACTCATACACACACTCACAGACACATAAACACTCACATGCACATATACACACATACTTAGACTCACATATACATTTGCACATACTCTTATACATGCTCTCACACACTCACATTCACACACTCAGATATACTCACACACTCACACTCTCACACACACTCACATGGACACATTCACACATATTCATTCACACACATTCACACACATTCACACATTCACAATATTCAGACTCACACACACTCACACACATTCACACGCACACCTTCACTCCTTCCATTAAAAGGGAGCTGGGTACTCACTCAAGAACAGGAATCCCAGCCTGAAGAGCTCCATGGGTGGGAGCCCTAATGTCTGGGTGCTCGACCGTCTCCTGCCTGCACGCAGAGATGACGAGCACTGTGGTCCCCTCTCTCCTGGCATGTGGCGAGTGTCTAAACTGGGCACAGAGTCTCCACACTGCAAGGAGGTGGAGGGACTCTGACCCCACTGCTGCCCTCTCCGAGTCGCCCTACCTTCTCCGCCCCGCCTAGGAACATCACAGGAACATCACAGGGGCTTCCCCGAGGAGGAGGAAAAGAGCAAACACCTGCCCTTTGGCCCTGGGTGCCCTGGAAGGTTCTGTCTGTGTGGGCCAGTCCGGGGAGAGATGGGAGAGAGGCTGAGGAATGGTGGGGCAGCAGGAATCCAGATTCTGCTGGCCAGGCCAAGAGCAGCAAGAACAGGAATGGAGGGTCCTCCTTGAGTTGATTCTTATTTTTTGTTTTAATTAATTTATTTATTTACTTTTTGCTTTGGGGGCCACACCCAGCGATGCCAAGGCTTGCTCTTGGTTCTGTGTTCAGGGGGCACTCCTGGCAGTGCTCGGGGATTTGAACCAGGGTTACTCACATGCAATACATATACCTGAACCCCTGTACAACAGCTCCCACGTCCGCAAGAGCCTTTAGGGGAGGCACAAGCACTGCACCATTTGACATGGGAATGAACCGAGCAGATGAGAGAGGTTGAGTAACTTATCTCAGGTCATAGAGCCTAGTGAGCTAAAACACAGAATTACCTGGGGTGGGAGTGGCTGAGGCTGACCCAGTGGCTTTGTGAGCCTGAGGGTGTGAGTTTGATCTCTGATGCTGCCCACATGCACAGAGCATCGCCCTCAGACTTCTGCAGTTTGGGAACCCCTGGGCAACGACAGAGTGCAGAGCCTCGGTTTTCAGCCTGGTGTGTGTGAGCACCGCAGCTAGAGCTTCCCAACTCTGAGCACTGGAGCTATGAGCACCACAGTGTAAAAGACTCCAGGGCCAAGAAATAGCATAGCAGGAAGGGCACTTGCCTCACCTGCAGCCAACACCCCAACCCAAGTCTCATCCCTTGCACTGCAGAGGGTCCCCTGAGTCCCAGCAGGAGGGATCCTTGAGCACAGAGCAGGAGTCAACCATAAGCACCACTGAGTGATTCACACACACACACACACACACACACACACACACACACACACACACACATAAAAATCACCATCTCCGGAGAGCTCTGTGGCCCAGTGGGAGCATCACAGTCAAGAATAGTGCACATCCAGCCATGGTGACCCCAACGAAGAGAAATCAGGACCAGAGCAAGAGGACAGCGGGGAGGGCGTTTGCCTTGCATGCACTGACCCGAGTTCCATCCCTAGTACCCTATACAGACCCCAAGCCTGCTAGAAGTAATCCCTGAGCACAAGCAGGAATCAGGCCTAAGCAAGGCGGGTGTGCCCTCCCTCCCCAGACATTCCAATAAAAGGTCACTCAGCAGAGAAAAACTCCCTCCTGGCATCTTGCTAGACAAGAGGTGAGTGTCGGTTAGGTGTGCAGATTCCCGGGAGCTGGAGGTTGGGGTTGGGGGACCAAAACCCTGAGAAGTGCCTCCCTGCCCTGCTCTGTGAGTTCCTGTCAGCAGGGCCCAGTCCAGGGCCCAGCTGGGTGCTGACTTGCCCCATCAAGTGCCCCGGGAGGCGGTGAGAACCGCAGGCACACCCCAGGCGTCTGTACCCCACACGAAGCTGTGCCCAGTGTCTGGCTGCTGGCCAGGGAGAGGCTAGCCCAGCCGCTCTTGTTTACAGCTGTCCCTTATCATCCCGTCCTTGGCCAGTTCCCAGCAGAGGACAGATGCCCTTTTCTACTCCCAGTCACCTATGAGACCATATGGTAAAAGTAATACTTAGGATAAATGGGGGAACGGAGGTAGAGGGGGACGCAGGCTTCCCAGCTGGCTGGGGCCTGGGGCACAGGGAGGAAGTCGGCTCCCCAAATCCCTGCTCATGCCCTCCTGCTCCAGCTGGAGCTTGTGGGAGCCTTGGCGGGCCCGTCCCCACCTTCCTTCCATCTGCAGCTGTCACCCACTCATCTCCCCTGACAGCTGTGCTAGTGCCGCTGCCTGTTGGGGGAACCCCAGGCCCAGGACGGCATCTAGCATACGCAGGTGCCTCCTCTGTCCATCACTCACACATGAGTGGGACCTTGGCAGGAGTGTGGGATGCATGAGGCCACGACACTTTCCAGCCCACAGTGTCTTGGAGGAACCTGGAATCAGGAGCGGGAGCCATGTCAAGGCAAAGCTCATGTTCTGTTTTGGTTTCCATTTGATTACCACCCCCTCCTGCCCATTTGTTTTCTTTTTTATTGCAGTACTCTGTTTTACAGTACTGTTAATGAGGGGGCTGAGCAATAAGGCGGTGGGTAGGGCACTTACTCAGCGGCAAGAGCTGACAAGCACACAGAGCTGACCTGGGCTCAGTCCTTGGCATCTCCAATGGTCCCTCAAGCACCCCCAGGAGTGATTCCTGAGCGCAGAAGCAGGAGTCAGCCCTGAGCACAAATAATGATAGTGACCATTTCAGACACACACCGTTCATGACCGTTTCCTGCACACATCATTTAACAACCATTCGTGCACTCACCTATCCAGCACCAAACCCACCGCGAGGTGCCTGCTTCCCTTCATCAACGCCCCAAAGACCCCCTTAGCCTCCATCCCCTCCCCACTTGTAAGCTCAGTTCTCTAGACTTATTCTCTAGTTCTGTTGTCTTCCAAAACCCTTACTTTTGTCGTTTTTTTTTTGTTGGGGGGTCGGGAGGAGGAAGAGAGTTTGGGTCTCACCTAGTGATACTCAGGAACGGTCCCTGTAGTGCTCAGATGGGATACTGGGGATGGGACCAGGGTTAGCTGTGTTCAAGGCAAGTGCCTTCACAATAATATCTCTTCACCCCAGGGATACCTATGTTCCTTTTATTATTTTTTAAATCACTGTGAAATAATACCGTTACAAAATTGTTCATGATTTGCTTTCAGTCATACAATGTTCCAACACCCATCTCTTCACCATACACATTTCCCACCACCACCATCTCCATTTC